GTAGACCAGGCTGGCCTGAAGCTCACCATGTAGACCAGGCTGGCCTGAAACTCACTACATTGACAAGGCTGGCCTTGACCTCAAACGTGTAGACCAGGCTGGCCTGGAGCTCACTGTATATAAGCAGCCTGGCCTGGAACTTACTGTTGTCTGGAACTCACTATGTAGACTGGCCTGGAATTGTGTAGACCAGGCTGGCCTGGAGCTCACTGTGTAGACCAGGCTGGTCTAGAATTGTGTAGACCAGGCTGGCCAGAAACTCAGTGTACACTATGCTGGCCTTGAACTCACTGTGTAGACCAGGCTGGCCTGGAACTCAACTGTGTAGACCAGACTGGCCTGCAGCTCACTGTGTAGGCCAGGCTGGCTTGAACTCAGATTCACAGCTGTCTCCACCCCCTAAGCGCTGGGGTCAAAGACTGTGCCGCCTCTGCCACCCCTCACCTGTCATAAGCTGATGGGAAGGCCCGGCCCATCCCTGGCCATTCCCAGCCTGCCGCCCGCCCCCAGCAACTCACCCCTATGACTGCAACCCGGACCCACATGATGCTGTTCAGTGCAGCATCTCCAGGGCTGTGGAGTTTCAGTCCTCGGTGGTGGCCCTCTTGTCCATGTTGTGCTGGACGCTTTGCTTGGGGATGTCCAGCTTGGACATGAAGCTCAGGCCGCTGTGGTTATTGTAGCTAAAGAGCATCATGCAGCACTTGTGGCCCTGTGACAGGGGTGTGTGTTGGTCAGCCCGGGTAGGGTAGGGAACCGTCCCCCTGCCCACCCTGGGACTGGCACAGGCCACACCCAGTGAGGGCGCACACTCACCGCAGAAACGATGCTGTTCTCCGAGATAAAGGACATGCTGAGGAGCAGGAGGAAGAGTTCATGCCAGCGTCACGTGAGGGTCCTACCCTGCGGCCCAGACTGGCCTTGAACTCACCATCCCCCTGCCTCGCCTCCCTGGATGCTGAGACATGTGAGGTGACTGTGGGCCCTGGCTCTCCTGGTGAACCCTGGGGCTGTGGCGGTGGTGGGGCAGCATCTTTAGGTGGTTTCTCTTCCAGGTCGGGGGCAGTGTCCCAGGGTGAGCCTTGCAGGCAGGCCTGCACAGGCTCAGTGTCCTCCTTCCAGTCCTCTTCCTGCTTTGGGATCAGGCCAGGGATCCAGGCAGCTCAGATCTCCAGGTCTGAAACCAGAGAATGTGAGCAGAGTTAGAACGGGGCCAGCCCAGGACACCAATGTCAGTGTCAGGACTTGAGGTTGGGGGGGTCGATCTATAAAAACTGTTCCCCTGGGCGCTCAGGAAAAAGAAGGCAGGGGAAGGAGACTGGGGCATTCTGGGAATTAGAGGGGTTCCACAGGCAAGAGGACAGGAACTGGGGCATTCTAGGAAGGATGCTTTGTCACCACATCTGGGAGAACACCCTGGCTCAACCAAGCCACAGGGACCACAGGGTGTCGTCAGGGAAGGGCATCACTCACCCAGCCTGGCCGTCCTCTGCACTCTCTCCACAAGAGCCATTCCGGGCCACGGACAGCTGCTCCACTTTCCCCTAGTCAGAGATCCAGCCTCGGCCTTGAAAATCGGGGTGCCCTGGAGGGGCACAAGAACTCAGTTAGTACTCCTTGTGCCTGCTGAGAGCAAGGAGCTGGTGAGTCGAGTGACTGGGTACCAAGGTCTTCCCTGTCACCTCGACCGGACTCTGGGTCCCCTGAAACGCAGCTTCAGAGCTAGCCTGAGCTAGCCAACATCTCCTAGGAGCTTTGACTGCGCCGAATGGGAGGGGGACATGGGGAGCACCAGCGTCCACCTCTTCCTCACTGCTAAGCGAGGAAGCAAGGGACCAGCCACACCCATGCCACGCATTCCTGGCTCCAGACTGTGGCTCTTGTTCAACCCTGACCCCCCCCAAGGTGACAAGGAAGCAGGAAAACTCAATGGGGGCAGGAGGAATGTAGCTAAACTATGAAATGACATTTCCTGGGTCGGGAGGGGGGGATCTGGAAAACATTAATCATGGTGAACTTTCTGGGGCTAGAGAGTCGGCTCAAAGGTTGGTCTGCTCTTTGAGACGACCTGGGTTCAAGTCCTGGCGCCTCAAAGTGTCCATGAGGTGCTCAGGTAGGCAAAACACCAAGGCACATGAAAATTAAAAAAAAACAAAAAAAAAAAAAAAAATCAGTTTTACAAAAGACAGGCTGCTCCTTGCTCTTCCAAGAAGAGTGACCCGAACACAGGAACCAGCACCCACACTGGGCAGCTTACAACAGCCCCCGGGACTCCAGGTCCGGAGACCCGATGGCCCTGGAGCTGTCCCACACACGTGAACAAAATAAAATACAAAAAAAAGGACTTTTCACACTAAAAATGATTACAGGTTGCATCCCCAAAAGGCACACTCCTATCCCCTCCTCTTCTGCGTGTTTGTGTATGAACATGAAAGCAGATGCCTAGAGAATGGCATGAGACCCCTTCCTCTCCCGTTGGAGGTCCAGGCAGGGGCCGGGAACCGAATTCGCGCTCCGGAGGCTTTGCAGTAGGCCCGCGGTCTCGGGTGGTTCCTCACCTGCGGGGAGGCCGGATGCAGGGCGCGCGCCCAGGCCGCCGCTTCCTCCCACCTCTCGGGGTGCCGTCGACGCCCAGGGTCCCGCAGCCTGCGCGGGAGGATGCTGAGGAACTGCTCGAGGACCAGCAGCTCCATCATCTGCTCCTTGGAGCGCCGCTCGGGACGCAACCAGTGGCAGCACAGCCCCCGACGGCGGCTCAGAGCCTCCTCCGGGCCGGACACGTCCCCGTAGCGCAGCTGCTGGAAGCGTCTCCGGGAGGTTTCGGGGTCCCGCGGGTCCCCGGGATCCTTCTCTTCCTCCTCCCCTTCCGCCTTCAACGCCACCACCACCGCGCAGGCCGCCGCCATCGCAGCCTCGGACCCGTCCTCCGAGACCCCGAAACCCCGATGAGCGTCCCAGAAAGAGGGGCGCAAGGCCACTGTCTCCCCGAAACGCGGCCGCGACAGCGCACGCCATGGCAAGGCGCAACAGCAGAAGAAAACAAACAAGGCCAAAAGTGCGTCATCATCCCCCCCCCCCCCCCCCGCCTGCTCCGGCTGCAGAGAGAGGCAGAGCCCATCCTCGGTCCCTCTAAGCGCCCTGGAGGACTAAGTGGCGTCTCTATGGTTTGCCTTCCTTTCACTGGTCTCCCAGGCCAGGTCCTTAAAGAAAAGGATGTAAAACGGGTAGGGTGTGTCTGTGTGGACGAGGGCTTGGGAGGACACGCAACATGAAGGGTAATCATTAAAGAAAATCAGGAGTAAAGAAATAAATAAAAAGGTGGGCTGGAGAGATGGATAGTTCAGCGTCTCTCTGTCCAGGATCTTAGGATCTGGGTTCGATTTAGAATCCACAATGTGGTGCAGAGACGGACCTGCAGGCCAAACAACCATATACAAAATAATCTTAACAATACTGACAATAAAATTATTTCAATTTTTAAAGTATTTTTTTTTTTTTGTTATTTGTTTTTCAAAAATAAAAAATGTTTGGCTTTTCTGGACTCCCGCTGTAGACCAGGCTGGCCTCGAACTCACAGAGTTGCCCCTGCCTCTGCCTCCCTGAGCGCTGGGGTCAGAGGCGTCGGCCATAATGAGTTTTAGACCAGACAGAGTTACACAGTGAGACTATCTCGAAGAAAGCAAAAGAAGAAGAAGAAGAAAAAAAAAGTGTGAGCAAGATATTTTTTTAAAGATATTTCTTTTTCTATATATAACTTATTTGTTTTTATTTTCTGTACATCGGTGTTCTGGGTGCATAGATGTCTGAGTATGAGCGTTTGACCCTTAGGATAGGAGTTAGGGACAGTTCTGAGCCGACACATGGGTGGTTGGGATGGAACCCTGGTCCTCCTGGAAGAGCAGCCAGTGCTCTTAACCTCTAGCCTTCTCTCCAGCCCCGAGCAAGACATCTCTAATTCACACGGG